TCCTTCCTTCCTTCCTTCCTTCCTTCCTTCCTTCCTTCTTTCCTTCGTTCCTTTCTTCCTTCCTTCTCCCCTTCCTTCTTTCCTTCCCTCCCTCCTTGCTTCCTTCCCTCGCTCCTTGCTTCCTTCTTTCCGTCCTTCTTTTTGTTAACTTAGCCATATTGCAGACAGTTACTTTGTGCCAAATACTGGACAATGTTCACAGAGATATTGAAGAATAAAAAATTGTCCCCGGCCTCTACCAGCTTACCACTTGATGGAAGTTATTTCTAATTTAATTGATGGAATGTAAAGAAACCTGGCTTTTTAAGAGATCATACCTTTAATAACAAAATCAGATGAATATGTATTTTTTTATATTTAAAAATAAAGAGTATAATGTTTTTGCATATATGCGCTGTTCAAGCCCAACAATTGTTACCTGAAACTCCTGAGACTGGAATTTATAACAGATCATATACTCAGAAACACTCATAGAGTTTGGGATAGAACTGATGATAAAATATGTATTTCTGGGACATCACCAAGCCTCGCCCAGAGTCAGGCGTGTAAACCAGCCGGAGCGGCGGCGGCAGCGGCAGCGGCAGGACCGCAGTGGCGCCGAGAGTAGCGACCCCGAGGCAGCGCGGGGCAACACTGGCTGCGGGGACCCGGTGACAGCGTGAGAGGTACTAGGTTTTGACAAGCTTGCATCATGCGTGAGTATAAGCAGTCGTTCTTGCCTCAGGAGGCGTTGGAAAGTCTGCTTTGACTGTACAATTTGTTCAAGGAATTTGTGTAGAAAAATATGATCCTACGATAGAAGATTCTTATAGAAAGCAAGTTGAAGCAGATGCACAATAGTGTATGCTTGAAATCTTGACTACTGCAGGAAGGGAACAATTTACAGCAATGAGGGATTTGTACATGAAAAATGGACAAGGATTTGCATTAGTTTATTCCGTCACAGCACAGTCCACATTTAACGATTTACAAGACCTGAGAGAGAACAGATTCTTCGAGTTAAAGACACTGATGATGTTCCAATGATTCTTGTTGGTAATAAGTGTGACTTGGAAGATGAAAGAGTTGTAGGGAAGGAACAAGGTCAAAATCTAGCAAGAAAATGGAACAACTGTGCATTCTTAGAATCTTCTGCAAAATCAAAAGGAAATGTTAATGAGATCTTTTATGACCTAGTGCGGCAAATTAACAGAAAACCTCCAGTGCCTGGGAAGACTCGCAAAAAGTCATCACGTCAGCTGCTTTAATATACTAAATGCATTGTAGCTCTGAGCCAGGTCTGAAGAACTGTTGCCCAATTCAACAGTGCCAGCATTCCAACTTTGTTAAACCTACCAACATCTTAAATGGACTTTCCTGTGGTGGTACCCTTTAAGAGGCGGATGAAAGCTACTATATCAGTTTGCACATTCTAATCACTTTCCAGTATCACAAGAAAGATTTTTACTTATATAATAGTCCTAGAGTACGCAGCTGGTAAAACCAGAGGCTACATCCAGTATTACTGCTAAGAGACATTCTTCATCCACCAATGTTGTACATGTATGAAAATGGTGTACTGTATACTTCAACATGCCCCATACGGTGTATTGGGGGGTACAATAATGTAAATCCTAAAAGCACCACTATTTTTAGCATAATAAAAGAAAGTCCAAAGAACTCCTATATAGACTACTCCAGATAACTTCGCTTCTTTGATACTTGTAGCTTATTGTAATTTTTTTAAGAAATTCAAGGTCATTATTATTGTACAAAATAAGCGCTTTAACACAGCTATATAGTTTTTTTAATTTTTAAAAAACTTATGGAGACAGTGATCTTGTCTTTAAAATATGATAGTCCTTTCAGTATAATGTCTTAAAGACGTTGCCTTTAATATCTGTTGGGAAGGAAATGTCCAGACTTTTCAAATCTCTTATTATATGTTTCCTTTTTTTTTGTTTACATAGGGAACAATGTTTATAGTTGTGTGTACAGTGGGGGTGTACAGCAAGAAGTGTATATTTTCAAACAATTTTTTAATGGTTTAACAGTTTTTGTAAATCATTTTCAGGCTTCTGCAGCTGTAGATTCTCATTGTGAATGCCTTGCTTGCTCATGCATAAGTGTATTTGCAATACCAAATATACAGGTTTGGTATTTTTGCCTGTTAGTGATCGTCACATGTGTAACGTTTTGGTTGAGATGTTAAATGGTGGACGAGTACTGTGGATGTGAATGTGAGAAGTAATTTTAATCAAATGTAATTGGTCACAAGGCCTAATTTGCAGTAACTGTTGCTGTTTTATTTAACAATGCCTTGTTGCTTTGTATGCATTAATGTTTGGATGTAAAGATTGTGTGTCTATCCAACAGGGAGCCACAGTATTTATATCGACCAACCTAATGTTACAACTACTTTGAGGTGGCCAAATGTAAACTAAAAGCCTTAATTAAAGTGGTGCAATTTTGTATAACTTAGCATCAGTAGTTCAATAAATTTGGATTGGCATGCCTATATATATATATATATGTGTGTGTGTGTGTGTGTGTGTGTATGTATGTATGTATTTCTGTTATATATCCTAAGTGTATTTGGAGAATAAAACTCTCAGTAGTTCAAAGGTGATCAAATCGGTTTTCACCAACAAATGATTTTAGGTCAGATTAGAATTTAATACCAAAGAGCTTAAGATAAAGAAACCTTTGAGTTGTTGGTTGAAGGCAACGATTGGAGAAAGATGTAGATATATTTGATTTATACTCTATCAAGATTATCCGTTTTAAAAACTTGTTACAAAGATTATAACAAGAAAAGGCAGAGCTAATAGCTGGGTCACTAAATTCAGCAAAGGGATTCAGGTTAGGCTTCTCAGAGAAAGTTTTATTTGAGCTATTGTCAGAAGGATGAATAGAAGTTAATTGTCTTCTACAACTTTTAAACAATGTTGTAGATATGCAGATTTCACTTTTACCTAACTTCTGTTCTTCAGTTTTAGCATGCATATGGATTGTGATCACTAATTATTACGACTAAAAATCTATTTCTAATAAAGTTAACATTTAGATATCTAAATGTCTGTTTCTTAAGCACTTTTAATTGTACAGTTGACTTGGCATTTTCACTTTTTATCCTGCATAAGTAGAAAAATTACTAAGACCAAGTTAATGCTTAGCAAAAGAAATTGGCAATATCCTCAGAAGCATATTCATGGCTGTGGTCCAACAATATGATATTGTCCACACACAAGGCCATCTCCCTGAAATGTAGCTAAAATGTATGTTTGTGTACAGATGAGTTTGAACAAAATAGAAAAAGAAAACTGTACAGAATGGATAGGAGATTGGACATCTGGAGAAAGTGTTAATTGCAGAAAACATTAAAATCCAAAAGAGATAAAAAGAGCTAATTATTTTTCCTTGTGTTGAAGCTCATTAAAAAGTTTCTTAAATTACCATAAAAAATTCACATTGTAAGTTAAAATTTATTTATTTTCATGTATAAGATAGATTTTTCTGCATAATTTTCTAAGACAAAACTGGAAGTCATCTTTATACGACTATATGCTGACTAATTTATGAAGATATTTTCTTACAAGAAAAATAAAAGCAGAAATACTTCAAACTATATTTAAAATAATAGTTTCAGAAGGATACAATCTGGAGTAGATTGTAACTAAGGTTGCTGTCAAAAATATAGCCACTAATTTGTTAAAAATATTTATCCATTCATTAGAAAATATTTATTGAATTTCTTCTCCCTACTAGTCACTATGTTGGCATCAAACATACAAGTATGAGGAGGCAGAAATGGCCCCACTGTATTGAACATAGATGAGAAAAGAAACACACACATCAATAAAATTATTTCCAGTTGTGAAAAGTGTTTCACAGGAAAGCAACAACAAAAAGAGCCTCAGAAAATAAGTAGTGAGGATCCATGTAGAATAGGGAAGACTTCTGTGAGGGAGTGTCATTTAAACAGAACCTTGAATTATAAGAAGAGGTTACTAAAAAGAAGATGAAGAAAAGACTTTGAAAGCGTATGCACCATTCCTGAATCTGCGTAAGCCTAGAACATTTTGAGGAATTAAGAGCAGTTTTTCTTGCCATAATGAGCTAGTGATTTGAGAAAATTAAAAGATAAAAATAGACAAATTACACATGGCCTTGTAGGTTGAGATAAAGAGTTTGATTGTATTCTATGTCACATGGAGATCAATTTAATAATTTTAAAAAGAGAAGAAATCTGGCCAAATTTCCACTACAGTAGAATCTGCTGGGAAAAAAAATGAATAAGGGTTATGGGAAATGGAAGTAGGGAGAATATTTCTGGAGACTGATTTTCCTCAGATACTGGTTACTATCGCCAAGTTTTCTCATTCCAGTAATGATGTCATCATTCCCAATTACTGAAGCCAGGATGTTAGGAATCATCAGTCTTTTTCTTTTGAATTAATGTGACAGTACCAGAGAGAGAGAGAGAGAAAAGTAGTCATGCTGTATGTTATTTAGAGGATAAGATCAATAGATTTGAAATTGATTTGACATAAACCCACAGGAAAGTGAAGAACCAAGCATGTATTCTAAGCTTCTGGCTTGAGCAAGTGAGCAATCAGCAACATCAACCCTGTGACTGACTAAATTTTTACTGAGGTAGATAGACTTTGTAATGTAATAGCTGCAAGAAACTGAGAATCATTGAAATTTAGAAAACATTGTAACAATGTCATTGGGTTAATAGATAGCCTTTTCTTACAAAGATTTGTAAAAAATGAGATGCCCTAGAAATTTGCTGTGTATATTATGCATAAAAATATCACCTCCAATGAATTCATTTGGATTAAGAATGTGCCTGAGGAAAGAAAGAAAGAAAAGAAACTCAAAGCAAGACCAGACAAAGAAAACAAAAATAAAAGAAAAGACAGGGAAAGGACAGGGAAGGAAAGGCAAGAAAAGAAAAGACAGACAAAACATTGGAAAAATATGACAGAGAGAGGGCAAGAATCGTATGTATCACAATTTTAAAATATTTTAAATGTATAAAATCATTTTTTGACTTGTTTTTTTAAATCAAGAAGACCCTGGATATAAGTCCATCAGTATACAAATAATTGCTAAGAACTGGGACTACATTTTCAATAAACTGCACTGTTGAAAAGCCAATATCTTCAAGAAAATTGACCAAAAGATATTCTTGCCTTAATTTCTGTTGACATCTTGTGACTGCAATATGTTTTCAACTATGACTCTTTTTCTACCAATGGCATAGCACAAAAATGTGTGACAAAATGTGTGTCACTATAATTATTCATACCAATATTGCATAATTTTACCTCAGAATATTTTTTCCAACTACATTCTTTTTCCAGGGGCATTTACCTTCTGAGTGCTGTGCCTCAAAGTCAAACTGGTTAGCATTACCATCTTGTCTGGTATTATATATGCATTTATTAATGTACAAATTGACTTTCTAAATAGAATATATTTGTCAGGAGTTTTAGGTCTTGTGTTCTCAACACCTAACAGTAACTCAATAGATACTTATGAAAGGCAAAAATAATTTTTTTCTTTTTTTTATTATACTTTAAGTTCTAGGGTACATGTGCACAACGTGCAGGTTTGTTACATATGTATACTTGTGCCATATTGGTGTGCTGCATTCATTAACTCATCATTTAAGTATATCTCCTAATGTTATCCCTCCCCCCTCCTCCTTCCCCACAACAGGCCCCAGTGTGTGATGTTCTCCACCCTGTGTCCAAGTGTTCTCATTGTTCAATTCCCACCTGTAAGTGATAACATGCAGTGTTTGGTGTTCTGTCCTTGCGATAGTTTGCTCAGAATGATGGTTTCCAGTTTCATCCATGTCCCAACAAAGGACATGAACTCATCCTTTTTTATGGCTGCATAGTATTCCATGGTGTATATGTGCCACGTTTTCTTAATCCAGTCTATCAGTGATGGACATTTGGGTTGGTTCCAAGTCTTTGCTATTGTGAATAGTGCCACAATAAACATATATGTGCATGTGTCTTTATAGCAGCATGATTTATAATCCTTTGGGTATATACCCAGTAATGGGATAGCTGGGTCAAATGGTATTTCTAGTTCTAGATC